CACAGCCCAGGGAAGATGCATCCCAGTCACTTCCATGGCAGTCCACTTCCCTTCGGGCAGTGTGAGCGAGAACTCAGGAGTGTGCCACCACCTCAGGCCGGAACAAGAGCTGCACCCTGAACGAGCAGAGGGTGAGGCCTCCCTGTGGGCTCAGTGCCACCCAGAGTGTCCCCAACATAAGGGCATCTCTCCTCCCTGAGAGACCCCCTGAGTGTGCCCTTGGTCTGACACTCACACCACGACGTCTCCCTCTGTTCAGAAACGCAGGACACACGCATGTCCTGTGCTCAGAACACCGTCCTGCCATTTCATGCTGCATTTACACGGATATCTGCATCATGTCGCATGGCTGGCTGTGCTTAGACACACCTGTGGAACACGCAGTGTCATTCGCCTCCACAGGAGACTTACCAGAAGCAGCCTGGGACACACGACTCTACCCAAGAAAAAGTACGTACCCATTTCTGTATAAGAATATATTATTTAAAAGACAGTTTAAAAATAAAAATTCTGTACAGTATCATGAATTCCTTTTTTTTTTGTTGTTCTTCAGTGAACAAAACAGTTCTTAGAAAACGTGGTTTTGGTGTCAGGAGCCTAGAGCAACATTTCCCTGCAGGGAGGACGCCTTGAAGCTCTGACGGTCTGGTCCCCGATGGCCTGGTCCCCGATGGCCTAGTCTCCGGAGGCCTGGTCCTGATGGCAGCCACAGCTCGCTGGCTCTCTTCAGGTGCAGTCTGCTTCAGGAGGGACAATGACTACAGGTTTGTTTCTGTTGGGATTGCAGGAGGTCTCACAAATGTCACCTGTTTGCTATCTACACTGCAAATGCATCTTGCTCTGAGAGCCTGTTATCTTGCTCTGAGAGCCTGTTATCTTGCTCTTACTCTCTAAACTTTGTTTCATACTTGCCTAAAGAAGAAAAAAACAACGCAAGTCACAGGATTGCCCGTGGGCCACTCTAAGAGAATGAGGCCAGCAGACATGTTATTGAACACATTTAGGAAAAATAAAACCATGTCAGTCCCTCTTCTGAGGCATAATATAATCCAGTTTAAGAATTAAATGCCAGCATTTCCTGAGCCCTTCATGTGGAGCAGCATGCGGCTTGTTGAACTGCTAACACCTTGACAGGAAGGGTGTCACTGCCTCTGCCTTAGAGCTTCGGGCTCTGGGGATACAGAGAACCTGAGACGCTTGTGCATGTCACTTGGCTTGTAATTAGCAAAGCTTGGTCTCAAAACAAGGCACATCTACACCAAAGCCTATCACCGCTCCTCCTACAAAACCCAGCCCAGCTGCTCTGGCCCTGTGCCTTGAATGAGGGAGGGATGAGCTGGGAGGCTCTCAGGTTACCAGCTGGACTTGTTGGTCGTGCGGGCCGGAAGCAAGGTGGCCCAGTGGGCAGCCTCTGTGTTGCATGTCAACGAAGTGACTGGTCAGTATCAGTGGGCACAGGAGAAAATGCCTAATGTGATGTAACGGCTTTATTTTTGAAAAGCTTTAAAGCTTAAGTACTTCAAATGCCCTTTTTAAAAGCGCACATGCTGATTATTGATGTTTCTCTATTAACTAAAGTGTGGTGTTGTTTCAGAGCCTAATTCTGATTATTAGATGCAAGGAACAAAAGTTTCACTTATTAAAAATGCTGCAGAATTCATATTTTCTCCTCTCCCTTCCTCCGTCCCCTCCTTCCTTCTACAGAGCTCTGAGACTCCCCATTGCACCCTGATTGCTGTATGTGCTGAGACTTCACCTCACAATAGCGTTACCTTCACCTCTTCTCACATCTCTGCCTTTCTCTCTGGATTTTTCGGTACCTCTGGACGTCAAGCTGTCAGTCTTTTTCTGTAGCTAGGACAGAGTGCAGAGAAGGCCCAGTCAGGCCCCAGGAGGCAGGCGAGTGAGCGGGGGATGCTTCTCTCTTTCTGTGGCTGAGACGCTGCTGCCTACAGCCCCATGTGCCAAGACTCACCCGCACGGGCTCTGTAGGGACGGCTCTTCCCCACCTTCCCTGTCACCCACAGTCCCACATGGGAGTCACAGCCCGGAAGCCCTGACTTAAGTAGGCCTTGAAGAGGGCCGGGGTGCAGGGAAGCCAGAGTGGGACCAAGCCTGGGTGGCTGAGGAGACTGTTCTAGCTGCATCAGCGCTTGGAGAGGGGTGGGCAGCAGGGTGGATGGGGCCTACCGTGGCAGCTGACTATCAGGCAGGGTCTGTGGAAGCTACACTGGCTTTGAGCCCGCGTGCCTGGGCCTCTCTTGAAGGCAGAGTCCATCCAAGGGCAGCCTGAAGCCAGCCCCGGGCTCCCTGGCTCCTGACAGGTACCAACTGCCTTATGTGTTGTTGTACCTGCCTGGGAGCTGGGATGTCCCTGTGCTGAGGGCAGTGTCCCTTTCCATCCCATGTCCTCCTCTGAGCAAGTCAGCCCTGGGGTCAGGAGGGGTGAGCCCTGCAAGGGGTGCTCTGCTCAGAGGGACCTGAGATGCCCTGAAGGCTGAAGACACACTGGGCATGTCTGGATAACACGACATAGGTGACAGCTGTGAGTCTCGATAACCACACATCGAGAGATCCCCTGGAGGGGCACGGGGTGTGGATACACTGCTCTTGGCAGATGCACTGTGGTCCTGGGAGTGTACAGAGATAGATTCTCCACTGTCACCGAGCCCGACTTACAGGGGAGCAGAAGTGCTCCTGGCCATGGGGCCACCAGCAGCAATGCCCAGCTGGGCATATCCAGGGTCTGGCATCAGGGCAGTGGCCCTGAGCACACCCGCTCCGCCTGCTTGCCATGAGGAAGACGGTTTCCAGGGCCTCCGGCTCACCTCTTTCAAGGCGTCGTCCGTCCGCTGCAGCTCCTCGTAGCGGTCCCGTGACTCCCAGAGCGGCTGCAGCATGGTTTCCTCCACCACGGGGAAGAGCTGCGGAGACAGCTGGCTGCTCAGACAGGTGCCAGGTCCGCTGTGTCCAGCGGTGCCCACCCCGTGGCACTTGTGGTGGGCTCTTGGGTTGGGGCCCCTGGGGAAATCCAAGTGGCCCCCTGGGAGGATGCTGGGTCAATCCTGCATCCCAGGGAGCCCCGTGCTGGCTGCTCTACCCACTCCAGGCTGGTGCTCTGTGTCCAGCCCTTGCTGCCCCTGGAATGGACCTGCTGAAAACTCACTCTCCTTCCCTGCCTCCTGGCCCCTAAGCCCATGAGACCAGGGCCAGGGATAGGTTCAGAGGTTCTTACGAAGCTGTGGGGAAGAGCAGTTGGCAGAGGTCTCAAGAAGGGACAGAGTGGCAGCTCTGGGCCTCTGCAGAAGGGGCCGCAGCAACCAGGAGCAGTGAGAGGGGAAGGAGGACACACAGATGCACAGACATGCACGGCACACACACCATGGCCTTGGTCCCTATTGTACCAAGTGGGATGAATTGGGTGGAGAGAGGGTGAGTTTTGGACATGCTGGTGGGGGTGCTGAGGTGGTGGCCTTAGCAAGAGGCCACAGGCAGCCCTGGAGCCCTGGGAGGGAGGTGGACAGGACTGTGCCATGGGTGGAGTAAGACCACTGGCCAGGGTAGGGTGAAGGCAGGGCCTGGGCTCTGGGTTTCACAGCCTGAGGGCCCCAATCCCACAAGGGCAGGACAGGCTGAGGACCGGGCTGCAGGATGCACCTGGCCAGGGAGACAGCCTGGGGGCGGCGATCGTGAGGAGGCTCCTCAGGGCCTGTGTGTCTCTGTGTGTCCGTGTGTCTGTGTCTCTGTGTGTCTCGGTGTGTCCATGGCCGTGTGTGTCTGTGTGTGCCGTGTATGTCCATGTGTGTCTCTGTGTGTCCGTGTATGTCCATGTGTGTCCACGTGTCTGTGTGTCTGGGTGTGTCTGTGTGTGTGTGGTTATGTGTATGTCTGTCTGTGTCTGTGTATCTGTGTGTGTCAGTGTGTGCTATGTATCTGTGGGTGCTGCGTGTGTTCGTGTGTGCCGTGTGTGCTGTGTGTATCCGTGCGCCTGTGTGTGTGTCTGTGTGTCCGTGTGTGCCATGTGTGCTGTGTGTCTCTGTGTCCATGTGTGCCGTGTGTCTATGTGTGCCACGTGTGCTGTGTGTGTCAGTGTGTGTTCGTGTGTCTGTGTGTTTGTGTGTGCTGTGTGTCCGTGTGTCTGTGTGCATCCGTGTCTGAGCACATGCATGTGTCGGTGGCAGGCCTTGGTGTGTGGTGATAGTTACTCACCTTGGTCACTGTTTCGAACATTGGGATCAGGACAAACTTGATGAACCCAATTTGGGCCGTAGCTTTGGTCACTTTGTCCCGGTCCATGAATGGGGCCACAGGGAGGCCTTCAGACTTCTCACGGTCGCTCTGGGGGATGCAGGAGACAGTGACATTAGGGGTGGAAGTGCTCTCGGGGTCTGGAGGGCAGTGGGTCTCATTCTTCTTAGAGGAAGAATAAACTGAGCCAATTCACCAATGACCCACCCAAGCGCTCTGCAAAGCCACGTCAGCAACAATGGGGAGTCGGCCGAATCTCAAGTGCTGAACAGCAGCCACCGAGCAGGACCGGGTTTAGGGACAGGGAGTGGTTAGCTCAGCAGCAGACCCCTGCCCAGTTCCCTGGGGCTGACGGAGCTGCCCTGGGCGGCGCTCACTGTCCTCTGCAACACTCTGCTTTGAGCTGGCTCAGCGGTCACGTCCCTGCTCTTTCCCCCAGTCACCCTTGTGAGCCACGCTGTGCATCTCGGCCACCGCAGGCTCCCTCCCACCTCCACAGCCCTTGTTTCTTGACTTTTAGTCAGTTTGTTCGAGTCTATCCCTAATAGTGGCTCAATCAGTGGTGACTGGTGGCACATTTACAGCATTCGTTTTTCTGGGTTCACATCATGACCCATTTCATTTCTGATATGTGCCTGCCGAGAAGGCCTCCTGGAGGATGGTGAGGCTGTCAGCTGCCCGCTGCCCAGAGAACACGCCTGTCCACCCTGCCTGCTGCCCCAAACACGGGCCCTGGTGCGTGGGGCGAATGAGTACAGTCACGGGTCTGACCACTGGTCTGATGGCTTTGCTGGCTCTTACCTGCATAAAATATTCTTCTAATAAGCAGTCCACCCAAGGCTCTGCGACTTCCATGGGACGGACCTCGTTAGAGATATCGCAGCACTTTATCAAAATCATCTTCAGCTGAAAAAAGAGACTTCGGAATTTAGGGACAGGAAGACACAACAGAAGCTCCTGCTGGTGGGCTGTGGACCTTTGGTGGGCTGTGGACCTTTGGTGGGCTGTGGACCTTTGGTGGGCTGTGGACCTTTGGTGGGGTGTGGACCTTCCATTGCCGCAGGAGGAGGTGGGGGATGACGGTGCCGGGCTGAGTGAGGAGGCTTATCCCCTTCAGTGCAGTCCACCATCAAGGTCCTGCTTGGATCCACCCCTTCCAGCCTTCCTGTCACCCTGGCCCTGACAATGCACCCCATAGCCCTGCTCAGTGCCCGGCACACCCTGTCTGGAGCTCTTCCCCAGATGGGTGCGTTTCTGGCCTTTTGAGCAGACCGGAGGAGCTCAGTATCCCTCCGAGCCCCAGGAATCAGCCACTCCGGGGCACTTTAGCAGCAGAGAGGTGAGGCTGAAGTATTCAGCCAAAGCGTTTCCCCCGGAACTAGCCAGGACGTGCCTTCAGGGCAGTTGTGGAGGGCTCGGGCCCCACGGCCTTGCCTTGCACAGGCACCAACCACTGTCGCCTGGAAGGACCCCTTCCAGATCAGTGTCTGTGGGGCACATAGCTCTGCGCCCTGGGCTCCAAATCTGCCTGTTTGGTTTGGGGAATGTGACTTGGTGAAGGGCAGCTCAGTTTGGCTCAGTGTCTGCCCAACACACAACAGGTTCACACCGACCAA